CCTCCCCACCGGCTCCTCCCAGAGGCAGCGCAGCTGCAGCTGAAAAGCTGAGAATCTGCAGCTGCGCCAAACAGGCCCTAAGAATTGGCTGATGGGGTGAAGAAAACTATAGAGGATATGAAATCCACCAAAAAGAAGAGTTACCCTTAGTACTTTTATCTTTGAGGGAGAAGCTGAGAGATAGTGGCAAGGGTAGTTGCAAGAGAAGTTTTGTGGTAGAACTAGTCACCTTGGTGCAGTGGGAGGATTTTGTGAACATAATCAGAGATTGGTTCACACTACTTTTAGCTAGGAAGCAAATGCAGAACAAATTTATTTGGCTGGTGCAGGAAGATCGGTCAATCATACGATATTCAGTTGAATTTACTATGCTTACGGGTATGTACCACGACTTATATTCCAAATGCAGAGAAGTATCATGGGTTTCCATTTGGATTTAAATATCTGATCAGACATTCATTCATTCATTCTTATTGGGATTGATGACTATTCTATGTTAGAGAATTACATATATGTGTACCGTGATGTTAGTGACTATTTCTATATAAATGTTTTGTTGATTAATGTTAATGTTTAGAAATATTTTTTATCGTTAGACCGTTTGTTCTTGCTTTAGTTAATTCTAAATTTTCAGACAGAGTCATGACATAAATAATCATAAGACTATTTGGACAATATTCTCAATAATTTACCGAGTGATGCAGAGCACCATGCTCAAAAGTCCTACAACAATACCCTAACCAAGACACTTATCAGTCACTATAGCTTACCTCAGGATCAGGTGTAACACCAGCCATTTTCCTTGATTTTTCAATGTACTTATTTATTTCAGGGTCAACAATAGCTTTCCGCCTATTGTCATATTTGTAGAACCCCTTTAGAGCAGCTTCCCCTGAGTAAAATGCCAAAACAACATATAATTATCCCAGATTTAAAAACAAAAAACATCAACTAAAGCATTTTCTTATGCAAACAAAATGATTTTATCAAGGATGTTCTTCTCATTGGACCTGATCGCTTATCCTCAAGCATAAGCGGCATCAACACTGATTTGTAGGACCTATCAGGAAATTTTTGAAGATATTGAATGCCAGTAGCCACTCCAACCCCAAAGCCCACAAGATCAATCATTCTGCGAAAAAAACATAGTAACTGCAGTCACATGTTTGAAGAAAAACACGTCAAAATGGTCCTCCAAACTCTTTGCAAGGAGTTATTTTAGCCCCAAAATCTATGAAGACGCTAATTTAGTGCTCAAACTCTTTTCATATGGGTGTGGTAATTTCAGCTCCCGTTTAAAGAACTATGAGACTAATTTGACATTTTTATAGACTGAGCCTAAAATGGCCCCACGTAAACACTCAAGAAACTATTTTGACATTTTACTCCATATTTAAATTAAGACAAAAAAACCGGTATGGCAAAATGACGTAACAACTAGAGCAAGAAATGAATAATTGTTCAGTTCGGCCATAAAAACCAAATACCTGAAAGGGCCCATAGGCATTCCAAACTTAGAACATGCCCGATCGATATTGTAGACATCTAGACCCCTATCAACAAATAAGAGCGCTGACTGAGTGTAAGGAAAGAACATTCGGTTGACTGCAAAACCAGTACAGTTCCCAACAACTATTGGTGTTTTGCGAATCTTCTTTCCTATATCCATCAAGTCCACAACGATCTGTGGTGAGGTCTTACTGGTACGAACTATTTCCAGAAGTGGCATCACATGAGCAGGACTGAAGCGAAATTATTATTATTAGCACATTATGAAGAACAATTGCATCCAAATGTAACAGAAAACAGGCATTACCTAAAGAAATGAGCACCAACTATACGATCCTGTGAACTGGTCTTTTCTCCAATCAAATCCAAATCAATTGTTGAAGTATTACTTGCAAAGATGCAATGTGAAGGACAGTATTTCTCCAGATCAGCGAATATCTGCTGCTTCAAAGATACATTCTCTATAACTGCCTGTAGAGGCAATTATGAAGGACATAAATGAAATTAAAGGGATTCATACCAAGAAACACTAACAAGGTGAAGGGAAAGAAACTAGGGACATTTACATACGTACTACCGAATTCTTATAGAATGTGTGTGTGTGTGTGTATATATATATATACATATTCTATAAGAATTGGGTAGTGTGTGTGTGCGCGCTCTCCACGTCTGGGCTCATTGGTGCGGCCTCTGGCGTAAGTCCCTCGGGTCGGGTGTTCGAATCCCGTGGCGCGGACTCTTCGGATCAATTAAAGCACACCAGGTTTCGAACCAAATGGGGGAATGGGAATCGTTATTTGGTGCCCACTGGACCAAATAACGATTCCCTTTTTTCAATATATATATATCCAACACCCAAACTTTATTTTGTACACTTATACCACCCAAATCTTTCATATCACATAGAAAATACCACTATTTTAAATTTTAAAAAGCAAAATATACCATTTCATGCATAGGTAAGGTGGCATTTTGTGAAAATTAAAATTTAGGGTTTAGATATGTAAATACATAGGAATTAAGTGGCAAGCATCTAAATCTTTCAGAAAATTAGTGCAACACTTGCCTCAATGACAACGTCCACATCTCTAAAACATTCATAATCAAGAACTCCTTTGACGAGTGAAATTGTCTTCTCAAACTTTTCATCAGTCATTTTCCCTTTCTTCACTTGACTTTGCAGATTGGCTGTAACAAAATAAAAAATCACCAAATGAAAATTTTCCTAGTAACCCGCATAAAACTACAGAAAACCCGTACCAGCACATGTTCACCTCATTTTTACCTTTGATCCTGTCAATTCCAGCTTTCAGGAAGTCTTTGTTTACTTCTTTAAGAATAACTGGAAAACCGCTCATTATCAATACAGTTACAATTCCAGACCCCATCAGGCCTCCGCCAAGAACAGCAACTTTTTTTGTTTTTCTAGGTGTTAAACCTAAGTCAGTAATACCAGGTACCTATGGAAAGTATGAAAGTTTTACATTTAAGTTGAGAGGCATGGTCAATAATATAATTACATAGGCATCTGAAATATGATTGGTAAGATACATACTCAAGCCCATCAATATATACTAGGGCATAAAGCTAGCTAACCATTTTCAGAGACAATTAAGAAAACACGTGTGGTTTCATATACTCTCCCAAAATAACATGAAATAAAAAATCTTTTCAGTTTTGGTATGAAACCAAAATTGAGCATTTACATACATACCACAACATTTTTATGTATTTACATATCTAATACCTAAATATTACTTTTTACATTTATACAACCCAAATCTTTCATATCACATCAAAAGTACCACCAAAATAACTTTTAAAAAGTAAATGCACCTTTTCATAAGGTAAGATGATATGTATGTAAAAATTGAAGTTTAGATCTTAGATATGTAAATGCAAACGAATCAACTGCTGATACGCCATCATCAAATTTAGTGATTTCACATGAATTTCAAGGCTATTAGCACGAATCTCAGAGTATTTATAAACGAGAAACATTCAAACTCAAATTAAAAATCATCTAGAACTTTGATTTCAGTAAACTTACAGTTAAACTAACCAACTCGATGAGACGAACACAATGATCCCAAAATCGATCAAATCCAAGTCAAATCAAACCCAGATCGAGCCGTTTAACCATTTTGACGTCTTATGGTGCCTAATTGGAAGCTCAAACAAATTCAAAATTTGACGAGCTTATAGTCAAATCGAGCGTCTTGAAGAGACGAATACAATGAGCTCAAGATCACTCAATTTTGAAAACAAGCAGTCAAATGTCCAAAAAATGTCGTCCGATTGAGGGAGTCTTCTTGGGTTGTCCGGTAGAGTGGGAGTGATTCGAATTCCTTCCTTATTTGTTGAAAGGCCACTCCCATATTTTATAAAAAAGAGTCCTACCTCCTTCATGAAAGAGGACCTGGACCTGATAGAAAACGAGGACCGAAGCCGAGGACAAGGTAGGGGGACCAAAAGACCAAGACCGAGGCCGAGAGCTAGATCAGAAAAAGAAGGAAAATCTGAGAGTCGTTATGGAGTCGAAGACCTGGTGAGCACTTGTCTCCGTGACTACCTATCATCACTCGACGTCTCCTGCTCATTGTAACAAAACCACTTGTTGAGTCATGACGTACGCTACTAATGACTAACATGACAAAGTAAAGAAGCAATGTGTAGAGTAATGGCTAACATGACGAAGTAATGAAGCATACTACAAGTAGTATAGTGTCTCAAATATAGCGTAACAACACACCACAAAGATAATGTAATGATGGATCTTAAATCCAATATAACAACTACTACTACTACAACCATCCGTTCTGCCCTTGCTACAGCGATTGAGGGCAACATACACTACTACAGCTCTCCACTACGACCATTGTGGTTCACAGCTCATACAACTCCCAACTTTGTCCTTTGTGTCCTACAAACATTATTGCAACTCCCAACTCCAACCTTTGTGGGCTCACCACCATAGCCTACGTGACAAACTGCTGAATATGTGGTCCACAGCTCATGTAGCTCCCAACTCTAACCTTTGTTGCCTACAGACGTTATTGTAGCTCACGAACATCGCCTACGTAACTAAATACGACATATGTGGTCTACAGCTCATGCAGTTACTAACTCTGGTCACCGCAAATTACGATCATTATTACAGCTCCTGTTAATGCCTATTTGACAAGCTATAGTCTGCGTGGCTCACAGCTCATGCAGCTCCCAACTCTGATCTTTGCGGTCTACAGATATTTTTACAGCTTCTCTCTACAGACTATGTGACTAACTATGACCCACGTGGATCACAAATCCCTACTATGGCCCCTGTGGCCAACCAAAGCTCCCGAAGTAATCATCTACAGTCTACATGACTAACTACTACCATGAATTTTAACTACAGTTTTTACGACAAGCTGGTGTTATAGCTATTGTCTACAACATTCATGGGGAGCTAATGCCGTCATAATAGTCTACTATGGCCTTTGCGGACCCTTATGACTATTATTCTCGAACTATAGTTCCACATCAACTTTGTAATTTCATCTTCTCTATTTCAGAAGAGTGTGTTTATGTACTCATAATTATATAGTGAATTATTTCGACTGGACTAGGCTCCGAGGTTTTTTCCCCTTTCAGGTTATTCAATGTGAAAAATCGAGGTGTCTTCTGCTGTTTTTTTTTATTTGTGTTGGATCTTCGTCCAATGCTAAAACACTAAATTTATTACTCTATTGACGCAAATCTTCCGCACGCATAAAATGGTATGCATTTAAATATTACAACAAAAATTATTATGCGGGCCAAAAACAATAAAAAAAAGACAATTCAAACTAAAATAAACCGACTTAATGCGTGCATATGCAGTTTCCAAACACTGACACCCTTCATTAATGTCTAACTACATAAAATCTTTTGCATTAACCTTCCACCACTTATTTGTAATACAATATACTATCTAAAATCCTCGACAACATTAGAGAACTAGCTTGTGATAAATCTATAATATTATAAATCTGCTCGACTCCCCACGTCCATTCAACAAATCTTTATTATACTTCTCAAAATCTCTATACATCTCTATACTACTTTACAAATCTAGCTTATTATGATAAATCTATGTTACAACAAAACTGCTCGAAATTCTGGTAACAGGCAAGCCCTGCGCTTCAACTTCTAAGACTAATCCCATCCCTCAACAAACTTCTATTGTACCTCTCGGTGTTAACAAATTGTAAGATGGAACAACTTTAAATAAATCTGTGTTCTTTGATCATAAGACGAACAAACCTTAGATTTTCAAAGCCTATTTGTTAGCATTTCTGCAAATATTTCAACAATGATGAACCCAGAAAAAATAAACTAATGCAAGTTTGTCATTTTGCTTCTCAACTGTCGTTGGTTGTTCTCTCGAACAAGTAATCTTCTCCAATCACCAGAGTAGCCTCCACAAGAAGGTCAACAAGGCCATTGATCATTCACTATACTAAGCTAACCGACTTCATCATCAAATCCAACTATGTGCACAAATAAATCTTCATTATGGGCCGAGGAAAATGCTAACAGGCCCAAGAGATTATAACAACCCAATTCTTTGAAATCCATCTACCAAAGTGACCTGCCGAGTTAATCTGTCGGGTTTAAGGCTGTTGGGTTGCCCTATCAAGTTAAACTGCCTGGTTCTAGGCTGTCAGGTTGACCAACCAAGTTGACCTATAGAGTTAATTTGCCCAACCAAGTTGACCTGTCTAAGTGACTTATCGATTTAACCGGATTCCAGGTTGTTGATATGCCGAATATTAGAGGCAGAGAGATAAAGCTGTAGGCGACGAATCCACTATTTGCATCATATCAGTCTGACATCATTACACCGCATCAACAAATATCGTGCAGCATTAAAATTATTTAATATAATCTTGATAAACCCGATAAGAGGGTGAAAACCATGTCAAGCCCTATAAATAGAGATGATCTTCTCCTCTTGAAGGGCATCAAACACCTCTAGCTCTTTTCTTCTTCTTTATCAAAGAAGAGTGATTTTCATACCTCTTTGCTTCTTCTACGGGTCTTGCCTAGTTTGTATGAGCCCACAAACATTCCAGGATTCAACACCAACAAAAGCAAACTCTAGTAAAGGTTGTGCAACCGTTTCAAATATAAAATCTAGCAAATATTATTAGATTATGCATTCCCAATTCGAAGTTGTTATTTCAATTAATGGCAGAGGAAATGTAGCACAACAATTGAGAAACACTACAACGGTTCAAAATCGGGGCCTAACTTCCCAATCCCTATATTGTTTTTTAGCTATTTTCTTTTCCTCTTTAGGTTAGAAATCTGGGGTATCTTAGCTTCAGAGTATGGATAACAGGGGCTATGAGGCAGAAGTAAAACATACGTTCAACATTGGGAGACAGTATGAGATGGTGTCGGGCAACACTACATCCAAGCAAGTTTTTTAAGTTTTACTACTTAGGACTTGTGCTTATTCCTTTATAGCAACTTTAAGATTCACATAAACTTAACTAGGTAGGACCGGCCTGAGAGGGAGCTACTATGTACCATGACATAATGCCATCTATTTCTTCTCCCTTGATACAAATATCGTTTGTTGCTATTTTATTTTCTAAAGTACACTTCTATCAGAGAAGATTCCCTCAATTTTAGGAAGGCGTTTACCACCTACCTGTTGTCTCTGTTTTCTAGTGAAACGCTATAAGAAATAGTGGTATATAGTTTTCATTTTCCTGTAGTAAAAGATAAATAGAATATTTGTTATTACTTGATAGCATTACTTCTTCATCTTCTATTATCTCCATTTTTCTTGGTCACTCAGTTAACTATCACTAGAGCTATAATGGAGAGTAACTGTCAGGACTCAATCAATCGATAAACTTAGAGTTAATCAAGGAGGGAACGGACGGTCCGACAAAGAAATAAAAGGTTTTTAAACAATAGAATTAGTCTATGCTAACATTCAATTATAAAAGAGCCACTAATTCTTAAAAAAATCCTCTAATAAATACAAAAAATCATTCAATGATACAATAAAGCAAGTAGTATGATAAAAGTGACAAAACATACAAGTCAAATAAACTATTGCCTATTTTTAATAATTCATCTCCTCGTGTAAGCGAACTCCCTATCAATCATATCAGTCTAGCGGACCTTTTTCTGAAAGAACGGTTAAAAAATAAGTTAAGTTTAAAGCAACTTAGTAAATAATTATCACTTTATTATTGTAGAAATGTGAGATCTTGTGAAGAATTTAATCGGGACACCTTAGAAAACTCTTGATTAGTTTATACCCTTCCTATCTATTATTTTATTTTTATATAAGAATTATTTCCTTTCCTAACTTAGGTTAGATATAATTGGTAAGTTTGTAAATTAGGAGTAATTGTTTTACCTATATATCTATACACCCTACATATGATTAATATAGTTAAAAAAAAATTATTCCTCT